CTCAAATTTCATCATTCTTTTTGAGTTGGGAAATCTATAAAGAAAACCTTTTTAGTTATTCTGAGGTACAGTTCATATAGAATAGGCAGTATAAATGTTTGACTCACACCTTGTTTCCCAAATATCTTCCAAAGATAACCAATGAGCTTTTTGTTATTGTTGTTAATATCATTATGAACTTGTGAATTTTAACATTTAAGTGTTTCAATCCATTGTGGCAGTTTTCCAATGTTAAATGGTCTCACTTTGGCCTAAGGTCTCCTCAGATTGGCTCCTGTGTCCTTGTTACAGAATCCTAGTTGTCTTTGATGATTTTCTTGCTTTCTGGTGTAATAAGGTGTTTCAGGCTCATCTAATACATTTCCTGATCTAGACCTGGAAAGAGCCCTTCCTCTAAAGAGTTCTGGTTCATTTCATGGGGCATGCTATTTAGAGACCATAATCTCAGCACAAATATAGTCATTGCTTCTCGTCTGAGCATTTCTTCTAGGCCTTTATAGTGAACTGAGTTAGGAAACCCTTTTTTTTATTGTGAAATTTTTGTTGTACATTATTGTTTATCAGTCACCATGTAAGTGCATCCCTCCACCCCTTGTGCCCACCCCCCACCCACCTAGCCCCTGGTAACCACCAAACGGTTCTATCTGCGTGTGTTGGTTTATCTTCCACATATGAGTGAAATCATGCCCTTTTTTTTTAGGAGAAAATATGTATTGAATACCAATATTGCCAATTTTAGAGATTTTATTTATTTTCTTAGATTTCATATTTCTAGATTTCTAGACTTTTTTGCTGGAAATCTTTGTTCCTAACCCAAAAATATAATTATTTATTTGCTTTTCCCAATATATAGATAAACATATATGTATGTATATACATATGTAACAATATCAATATCACTTTAGCCGTAGGATGACTGAGAAAGTTTAAGCTTTCTTTGGGATATTATCACATTTCTGTGTTTGCCAATCACTTGAAATAATTCCTTCTTTTGTTTATCATAAGGCTTCTTCATCCATGCTGTTCCTCGTGTCAGTATTTCTTTTTGATTGCTGAATAGAATTCCATTGTATGAACATGGCACAGTTTGGTTACCTTTTCTTCTATTGATGGATATTTGGATTCTTTCGAATTTGCGCTATTATGAATAAAGCTGCTATAAACATTCTCATGCAAGTTTGCTTTCATTTTTCTTACATATATACCAAGGAGTGGAATTGCTGGGTCACAGGGAAAGCATATCTTTGACTTTATTAGAAACTACTGAGCAGTTTCCTAAAGTATTTGTCTTGGTTCAGGCTGCTATAACAAAGATACCATAGACTGGGTGGCTTAAATAACAAACATTTATTTTTCACAGTTCTGGAGGGTAGGAAGTCCAAGATCAAGGTGCCAGCAGATCTGATGTCTGGTAAGGTCACTCTTCCTCGTTTGCAGATGGCTGTCTTCTCACTGTATCCTAACATGGCAGAGAAAGAGAGAGAGAGAGAGTCAAGTTTCTTCATCCTCCTATATAAGGACACCAATCCCATGATGGGGACTCCACCCCATGACCTCATCCAAACCTAATTACCTCCCTAAGCCCCCACCTCTAAATACCATCACATTGGAGATTATCCTTCAACAGGAATTTTGGGGGGACACATTCAGTCCATTGCAATTTGTATCATTTTATACTTCCACCAGCATTGTGCCAGAGGTCCTATGCATTCTGTGCTGGTTTCTAACTGTCCTTTTCTCCTATTTTTCTTCTGTCTTTTTATTCTGATAAAATTTGCTCAACTTCTTTTCCCAACCCTGTATTGAACTTTCAATTTCAGCTATTAAATTGTTTGTGCATTCTTATTTCCTATTCTTTAATAATGTTTTATTAGTACATATTCAGACTTCAGATTTTTATTCCAGAGTTTTCACACTTAGAAAAGGAAATCAGAGTAAAGTGGGTTCAGAGAAGTCTTTGTTTTTGAGGCCAAGTTAAGATTTATTCCTTTTATATTAACTTTCACTATAAAAATGTTCTTGGGAGACCAGATAACATTGGTCCCCTTGGAGTGATGCAGTTCTGCTAAAATCAATGCTTGGAGCCCAAACTGAAGTTTGGTGGTTGGTGAGGCATCTAGTTGGAATCACTTACAGTAGAACTTCTTTAGTCCAGCCTGGTGCAAAACTGAGGTCTCGACCAAATACCGTTCGTTCTTTTTTTTTTTTTTTTTGAGAAAACATTTGGCCCAGCCCAGGGCCCCACTTGGGCCACCATCTCCTCCTCCTATACCTTTCATAAAACTGGCTAAAAGCATCAACCAGCATTTATATAAGAATCCATGTCAATTCTTTTTCCTAAAAGTGCCAGGAAGTGTTTGCTCCCCAGATGAACCCATATGTTCCTTTTATCAAGTAAAAGCTATGCATCCTGAGGTATTTGTTTCCTGGCCTTCTAGGAAGCTCATGGATAAATTATTCCATCTGGAAAATTATCTGTGCTACATCCATTTCTGCCTTCTGATTTACAACCTCACTTTAAAACGTTAAATTCTGTTTCTTAAAAGTGTTGATAACCACATCTGCTAATTGAGGTATAATGTAAGCAATCCAGGACCTGAACAATCCCATAGCTATGAACTCTCCAAAACGTTCTAGAAGCCAATAAATAAAAAACAGAAATCTCAACTTTTTAAAATTAATTAATTAATTTATTTTTCCCCCAAAGCCCCAGTAGATAGTTGTATGTCATAGCTGCACATCCTTCTAGTTGCTGTATGTGGGACGCGGCCTCAGCATGGCTGGAGAAGCAGTGTGTCGGTGCGCGCCCAGGATCCAAACCCGGGCTGCCAGTAGCGGAGTGCGTGCACTTAACCACTAAGCCATGGGGCCAGCCCAGAAATCTCAACTTTTGTTTGCAAAAGGAGGAAGAGACTTCATTGAGTTCAGTGCCATGATATCCAGAGAGAGAGGGAAGAGGGAAAGGGGGGTGGTAGCATCACCTGGGGCGGGCTGGCAGGCTGTCTTCTGCAAGGTTGCACAGGGGAACACTGGTTTTGCAATCTCTTGGCCTTGAAGGCCCAGAAACCTGCTGTTAGTTGGCACAAGGAGAGCGTCCATCTGTCAGGGCCAATCTCATCTCAACCAAGCTCCCAGACTAATGTGTGCAACCAGGAGTCCAGTTAACTTAGAATGGGAGTTAAAACTGCCTTTGAAACACACATGTCCATATGACCTGCTCATTCACGTCCAAAGGCTCCTGGGTCATTGCCCATCCATCGTTTTCCATCACCTGTCCCACTGCCCCTGCTTTGTGCCTCTATTGTCAACTGTGAGTTTCTTGTTTAGTTTAGTTTCTTAGTTTAGCTTGAATCCCCATCTCCCAGAGCTGCTTAACCAAAACTATCACCTGAAGCCCGTTTTAAATGCCCCCTTCTCTTCAAACTTTGAGCCTTCAGATTCAAAGTAACCTCATCCTCAGAACTGTAAGAACACACTGTTCCTTTCACGCTCCTTTTCACATTTTTTTTTAATTATAATTATTTATGTGCATGACTACAGGAGGCTCGAAGACAGTCTCTGTGTTTTATTGATGTTTGAAACTCCAGAGACCAAGACAGGGCCTGATACAGGTTACAGCTCTCATATATTCGCTGCACCAGTGAAACACTTGGTAATCTTGGTCAGGTCTCAAGAGTTACAGCCTCCCTATCTGTCCTATAGGACGCTCTTTTCCTTTTCCTGGACTGTAAATTCCCTGAGGGTAGTCTGAGTAGGCTTTGCTCTCCACTGTGTATCCAGCGCTGGCATAGGGTCCACCATATAGCAGATGCTCAGTAAATGTTTCCTACAAGAATGAATCAACAAGGGAAGACATGATTGAACAAATGGATCGATGAACTCATCCCTTCTTCCACCGCGTGCGTCGGTCCGGGAGGGAATTAGTGAACCGGCAGTGGGCAGCCCTGATTCCGACGACTCAGCGGCGCTGGACCCCCCTCTGCGTCCAGGCCAGGCGCCCTGTAGCTCCGCCCACTAGGAGGCGGAGCACCCGCGGAGCCCCGCCCACACGGAGGCGGGGCCTGCGGCGCGCGGGAAGCGGCGCGCGCGGCGGCGGGAGGTGGCGGCGCCGCTGACTGATCGTGTACCTGCAGGTACGGCTTCCCCGGCACTGGCTTCGGCGTCCCCGCGGGGCTCCCGGCCCCTCCGGGTGGGGACGAGAGGCTTTCGCTGAGGGCGGGCCGCGGAGGCCCGGGAGAGCTCCGGAGTAGCGCGCGTTCGGGCTGCCGGTGCCCGCCCAGGCCCCAGCCCCGCGCGGCCTCCATCCCGCCAGGCCCGGTCTCGGCTTCCCGGGCCGAGCGCCCCGTGCCGTGCGGCCTGGGAAGGGAGGGGTTCCCTCCCCCGGGCGGTCTCTTCCTTCTGGCGGCCCCCTGCCCCGGGCGGCCCCGCCCCTGGGAAGGAGGGGGTCTCCCGCGGCCCCGGCCTCCAATCCCTGCGGCCTCCTCCCTGCGGCGGCCCCCTCCCCCCGAGGCACCCCCCCCGCTCCGGGCAGCCCCTCCTCCTGCAGCCCCCTCCTCCGGGCGGCCCCCTCCTCCTGAAGCCCCCTCCTCCGGGCAGCCCCTTCTCCCGGCAGCCCCCTCCTCCGGGCAGCCCCTCCTCCCGGCAGCCCCCTCCTCCGGGCAGCCCCTCCTCCGGGCGGCCCCCTCCTCCTGAAGCCCCGTCCCCCGGGCAGCCTCATGCCCCGGGCGGCCGGGCCCTTGCCTCTCCAGGCGCTCCGGGGGCGGTTGAGCGGCCGGGCCCTGTCCCTTGCTCTGGGTGTTCCATTTTGCTTTTCCGGGTGTAGCAGAAGAATAAACTTAACAGCCACGGCTCAGCGAAGCATTTTAGGTGGACCTTGCAAGGTGTAACTTTAGAGATCAGCATTAACATCCTTTCCCAGTACGGCGTGTATTTTTTAATGGTGTGCAGGTTGCCTGGTTCATAATAAACGTTCAGTAAACCTATCCTGCTATAATATTCAATTCATTACCAACAATTTTCAGCTTACCTCTGTCTTTGGAAGGAAACGGTGCGCGAGGAATTTTCTTGGCGCTTCAAGACTCAGGAGGATGAAAGTCATCACTTGCGAAATCGCCTGGCACAACAAGGAGCCGGTGTACAGCCTGGACTTCCAGCATGGCACGGCCGGGAGGATCCACAGACTGGCCTCCGCAGGGGTGGACACCGCTGTTCGGGTAAATGGGGCGGAGATAGAAAGGCACAGGGAAGCATGATTGAAGCAGCATTCTCCATCGAATGGCAACAAACTCCAACTACTTCCTTATTTAGCCCAGAGGGGTAAATTCTCAGGGCCTTGAGTGAACAATGAAAGCAAAAGAGAGCAGCTTTCTTTGCTGGATAATGTTCCCTAGATTGATGTAACTGGATGCCTATTATTTTAGAATCCTGAGCCAGATTCCTATTGGGGAACAAAATGCAGTAGACAGTGGTAGGAGGGAGGATGCAGGCAATGGGACTATTGGTTTATGTTTCAGATAAAAGTTCCTTCATTTTATGTTTCAAAAGAAAAGCTAAATTTTCTTCCTGAAAATAAGCATAGTGTTGTTTTAATATGCACAATATGATAGGTGCTCATAATATGTTTCTCTGAATGAATGTTTTGGTATCAACAGATCTGGAAGGTAGAAAAAGGGCCAGATGGAAAGGCCATTGTAGAATTTTTGTCCAATCTTGCTCGCCATACCAAAGCCGTCAATGTCGTGCGTTTTTCCCCAAATGGGGAAATTTTAGCATCAGGAGGAGATGGTGAGTATTGTTGTACTTTAGAATTCTTGAGAAACCAGATACCTCTGTGTCTCGTGTTAAATAGTGAGATTTGAGCTGGATCTGCTTTCTTATTTTAGAGGTCGCTTGACCTTCTCAATCTATAATTTAGTAAAATAATAGTGTGAGGGGTGGAGGACAGCAAGCTTAAACTGAGAAGATTTGTGCACTAGTGGCCCCTTTCCCACTTGCTCCCACCGGGCTGTTTGGAGACAAGTAGGAGGGTGCTTGCCATTCTTTCAGAGTCCCAAGGCAACTGTTCTGGCCTTGTGTGATTGTTAGTTTAGTATCTGTAGTGATCACAGTCCGTTCTGTGTCTCTGTATAATTAATTAATTAATTGGCTTAGGGAGTATCGTCTAAATGGCCCTATAAAATGTATTTGTTTGGTGGGAGTGCATTGATTCATATATGCTTCTTGTGCTTAAATGGCATAAAACTATATAGAAAAAGTAAATCTTTTTACCATGTTTTAACCTTAAAACTGTCTAGAAGTTAGTACAAAATAAAACAAATCTCAGATTTTGTTTGCAGAAGGAGGAAAAGAGACATGGTTGAATTCAGTGCTGTGATGTCCTGTGTGTGTGTGTGTGTGTGTGTGTGTGCGCGCGCGCGCGCGCGCGTGCGTTTGTGTGTGTAGTGGGAACATCACCTGGTGGGGGCTGGCAGGCTGTCTTCTGCAAGGTTGCATAGGGCAGCCCTCATTTTGCAAAGTCCTTTGGCCTTGGAGGCCCAGAAACCTGTGCATGGAGTCCAAGTCTGCACACAGAGAGTGTCCATCTGTTGGGGCTAATCTCGTCTCGGCCAAGCTCCCTGACTAGGGTACACACCCAGGATCCCAGTTAAGTTAGAATGAGAATGCGTGTGTCCCTATAACGGGCTCATTCACTCTGCTCCGGTGGGCATTCCTCAAAGGGAAGCTGAGTCATGGTCAGGAGGCTATGTGGTGAGCGTGGAGTCAATGTAGGGAGTTAGAGGGCTCAGACAATCGATGACATCAGGCTAAGGTATCTATTGCGTACATGGTATTAATAGCTAACACATCTATGGGCTTACCGTGTGTCAGGCATCATGTTGTTAAGTGCTTTATGCATATTAACTCATTTAATCCTCACAACCGCCCTATGAGGTAGGTATACCATTATTATCCCCATTTCACAGGTGAGGAGACTGAGGCATCAAGACAGTGACTTGCTGAAAGTTACACAGCTAGGAACGATTTGACAACCCTTGTGTTGGTGGCTCCTTGTTTTTTTCCTATTCAGCCATTTATAGGTTATGCCTTTAGATTTGTTAAGGTAGTCAGTTGCTTTGCAGTGGCTGGCCTGGGACCCTTCTGTTTAAGGTGGCTGTGCATAGCTCTGATCCGGTATGAGTTTGATTTTGTTTTGGTTCAAAGGCAAACCTATTTTTCTTGTCCAAATTCTTGGAAATAAATCATCGTGGCCATAGTGTCTATTGAACAACGTAAATATTGTTCAGTACTCTAAAACTCCAGAAATGAAGGAACATGCAATAAAGGATGCCTTGTCTTTAACTGAATCGCTCCACAGATGCTGTCATTCTGTTGTGGAAGGTGAATGATAACAAGGAGCCAGAACAGATAGCTTTTCAGGACGAGGACGAGGCTCAGCTGAATAAGGAGAACTGGACTGTCGTGAAAACCCTGAGGTAAGGTGGGGAGGGACCACGGGAGTGATTCATCTTTACCATCTGAGTGCATTTAACTGATAGGCATTTTGACTTTTATGTCTAACTTGAAACTTTTACTTATGCAAGACAGAAATAAGAGAATAGTTTTAAAAGATAAAAACATGATTAAAATCGATTTTCTTAGTTTCTGCTATAAAATTTTTCTTAGTAAAATTGAATCGCTTTTATAGACACAAATATCCTTGAAGGTGGTAGATTATAACAGTTCCAGTGGAAATTTATAGAATCCCATTCTCATGTATGGTCCCTGAGTTTACCTTTAAATTTTTGATAGTTTTTCTCTCCTTGAGACAAGAATTGCTTTTTCTCCTCTTTTTCCTCTTTGGATTCTAGGGGCCATTTAGAAGATGTGTATGATATTTGCTGGGCAACTGACGGAAATTTAATGGCTTCTGCCTCTGTGGATAACACAGCCATCATATGGGACGTCGGTAAAGGTAGCTGATGTGTTTTTATTATTATCTGGGGAAGGAATATTCCAAGTGTCTAAAAAGCCGAACCTGCTTTACCTTTAAAGGCAACAAGAAGAGTTTCTTTAGTGAACTAAAGTAGGTGGTAGCCTCAGTGGGTTAGGGATTAGCCTCATATGCCGTGAATCCAACTTGGTTTTAAGGGTCCCAATCAGAATGTATGAGTTTAACAGTGGTGTCGTGAAGCAAGGTAAATCCTACATCCTGGAGATGCAGACATGAGGGGACAGGGCTGATCCCTGCCTTGGTGGAGCTCAGGATCTCGGGAAGATTAGCAAGTCGTTATAATTAACGGAGCATTGCGTGCTCATTGGTGGGGTAAGAGGGATCAGGTTTCCATTTTAGGAGATGAAGGAAGGGCACGGACATTTTGCTGGTTTTAAAGAACCTGCTCTCTAGTTGGGGAGACAGTAGACATGTGAGAAGTTGTGTAAAAATAGCAGTGAAGTGCCAAAAGCCACTAGTGGCTAATGCCTGACCAACCCTGCAGTCCTTCCCTCAAGCTTGATGTTTTCTCCTGGATCCCTGCCTCTCTGGTCTAATGTGCAGGCTGCTGGTTCTCCCCCACCCCGAGCGCCCGGGCAGGGAGTCTGGAGGTGGAGTGGCATTCCTCTTGCCACAGCACCGCACCAGTCCACTATTCATCAGCTCTGTAGAAGTCTCTGTTGTGTTTAGTTCCGTGCCATCCAGCTAAACCATCCTCTCTCTTGCCTCATCTCTGTCAGGCTGTTTCTTTTTTTTTTTTTTTAAAGATTTTATTTATTTTATTTTTCCCCCCCAAACCCCCAGTGGATAGTTGTATGTCGTAGCTGCACACCCTTCTAGTTGCTGTATGTGGGACTCGGCCTCAGGATGAACGGAGAAGTGGTGCCTCGATGCGCACCCGGGATCCGAACCCGGGCCACCAGCATCGCAGCGCGCGCACTTAACCACCAAGCCACAGGGCCGGCCCCATGTCAGGCTGTTTCTAATCAGTCCTGACATTCAGCAAAACGGAGGACCAGTGTCACTGTCTTCCTCTCTACCCCAAATCTGATCATTGTCCTGGATAATTTCAGCGTCGTGTGGACAGTCCATCCAGCACCCCCTGAAGCCAGTTGTAGTGACCTTGAACACTGCCAGCATGCTGGGCATTATTTTAGGTGCTGGAAAAATACACAAACAAAATGGCTACATTCTAGTGGGATGTCAGATGAATGTACAAACTGGTATAATGTCGGGTAGTGGTAGGTGCTGTGAAGGGGTTGGAGAGTTACAGGGCAATCGGAATTATTTCAGGGAAGAGTGTTCCAGCCTGTGGGAACAGCAAGTGCAGAGGCCCTGTGGTGGGAGTTGCTTGTACCCAAGGAATGGGAGATCAATGGAGTATATGCGAGGGAGGGAGGGAGGAACTGAAGTTGGAGGGGGACAGGCCACAGGGCATGGTAAGCCGTGGGAAGGTTCTTGGATTGCATCTGAAGTGTGACAGCATATGCTGCTGAAGGGTTTTGAGCAGTAGAGTAATCTGATTTTATTTATGTTTTAAAAAGATGTCTCTGGGTAGCACGTGGCAAATCTGTCTTTGGAGAACACAAGAGATAGTGAGGGAACCTGCTAGTGGGATATAAGTAATTCAGGAGAGAGAGGTGATAATGGCTTGGGCTAGGGTGCTAGTGATGAAAGGGGTGAGAAAGGGTTTGGTTAGGATATAATGTGAAGAAAAAGCTGATAGGATGATGATGCGTTGGTTGTAACGTCAAGCTTTTTGATAACTGGGTGAACGTTGGTGCCATTTCCTGAGATTAGGGACACGGGGAGAAGGAGCGGTTTTGGCAGTGAATGTGGAAATCAAGGTCACATCCTAGATCTCTGTCTTTTTTTTTTTTGTAAAGGGTTTTTTTTTCTATATGTAACATAGGCAAAATTTAGTCAGTAAATTTTTATTTAAGGAATTTCACGTTAGGATTCCTTCTAGTGCCCATCACCTTAATTCCTTCCAAGTCTGAGTCATAGTCTTCAAGATAGCCCTTTTAAAAAGAACTTTTCCTTAATCCAGAGTTGTCGTGTCGATCAGTCCACAGTTCTTTTAGCTGGGATTCTTTGAAGACCTCTGTCATTTTAACTGCTCTGTCAATGACATCTTAAATCAGGTGTCCTGCTCCCCCACCAGAACCTTCTCCTTCAATTCTCTCGACACCCTTACTTTCTGCTCTTTTTCTTCCTAGAGCCCTCAGGTCCTCTGAGCCCCCTATTTCCTAGTCTGTCAGCCCCTTCTGGCCTCTGTTATTTCCTCTATCCAGCTTGCTTCCCAGATGATCATTTATAAACATCGTCAATTCCCTTGGACCCTTTTCTTCCATCTTACCTACTACCAAGACAAACCCCAACCCAGGACCTCAAGTGTGTTGCGTTTTCCATCTCTGGGTCACGGGCAGCTTTAGCGGGCAGTGGGGACTGAATGCAGCGGGTTGAGTGAATGGAAGGCGAGAGAGTTGGGAGAGTGAGTGAGTGAGTGTAGACCACTCTCAGAGAAGAGGGTTTTGGGTTTTGTTTTTGTAAGACTGGCCAAGGCTTCCTAACTCCCTCCTCTTTTTATCCAAGTAATCTTTTGTGTAACTGGTTTCATCTTGTAAATATTTCCCCCGAAGTCCCTTTTCCATTCCTGTTAGCATTGCCCTGGTTCCGGCCCTCCTCTCTCACCTGCTCTACACCACCTCCTAACACTTTCTGTGCTCTTTTGGAAACCTCAGTTTCATCTTTACAATGCAGATCACTTCCCAGCTTAGGGTTTTGCTGAAGTGTGTTCCTCTTGGCCTATGCCTTGAATACCCAGGGCCTTCTCCTTGTACACATCCCTCTTTCCTCCTTGTTTTGCTATCCTTGGCCTTCCACCTTACCCACTAGCAGTTCTTGGTGACTTATCACTGCTCCATGTGCTCAAGCTTTTACCCCGGGGATTTGCTTAGAATGCCTTCTTCTCCCCTTCGTTGACCCCCTCACCTCGCCTGACCTGGCGAACTGCACTCGGAGCTCGTCTCCTTCCAGACCCTCACTGCCTGTTTTGTTAGCTGTCCCTCCTTCTCTGTATCGTGTTGCAACGTGCTCACCTGCTCATGGGTCTGTCTCTCCCACTAAGCTGTGAGCTCCTCGGGAGTGGGAGCCGTGTGAAGTCATCTTTGTGTCCCCAGAGCCTGACATAGAGTCTCTCAGTTCCCGCCTGCTGAATGGTGGAAGGGTAGAAAGGAATTATATTTAAACTGTAGTTTATACCCTTTGTGCTTGAGTAGGTTTTGGTAATGCTGTTGTGTGCTTTATTTGTAGGACAAAAGATCTCAATTTTTAATGAACATAAAAGTTATGTGCAAGGAGTAACCTGGGATCCTTTGGGTCAATATATTGCTACCCTGAGCTGTGACAGGTACGTTAGTATTTTTTTTTTTTTTTTTAAAGATTTTATTTATTTTATTTTTTCCCCCCAAAGCCCCAGTAGATAGTTGTATGTCATAGCTGCACATCCCCCTAGTTGCTGTATGTGGGACTCGGCCTCAGGATGGACGGAGAAGTGGTGCCTCGATGCACACCCGGGATCCGAACCCGGGCCACCAGCATTGCAGCGCGCGCACTTAACCACCAAGCCACAGGGCCGGCCCCATAGGTACGTTAGTATTTGACAAGTTGTCTTCACCTCTATTTGCTTGAAATTTTTCTGCAAAGATATTTTTATCATAACCAATGTAAACCATAGTCTAGCTTTGATTCTTTTGTTTTTGTTTTCATATAAAGCATTTTGTTTTACTGTTATTATTACAGCATAATAAGAACTTGGAGGGCTGGCCCCGCGGCTTAGTGGTTAAGTGTGTGCGCTCCGATGCTGGCGGCCCAGGTTCCGAACCCCGGGCGCTCACCGACGCACTGCTTCTCCGGCCATGCTGAGGCCGCATCCCACATACAGCAACTAAAAGGATGTGCAACTATGACATACAACTATCTACTGGGGCTCTGGGGGAAAAATAAATAAATAAATAAAATTATTAAAAAAAAAAAAAAGAACTTGGAAACTAATTAGGGCAAGTGCCTTACACAAAGTTAGTACTTAGTGAAACTTTATAAAGAGCTTTGAATTGCATTTGAATTTCACAGGCAACTTTTAAAGAAAAAGTCTTTTATAAATATGACTTAAGCAAGAAGAGGTACCTAGCGGTAGGGTTGGAGTATTTATTTCATTTTTTTTTGTGTGTGAGGAAGATTAGCCCTGAGCTAACATCCAATGCCTATCCTCCTCTTTTTGCTGAGGAAGATTGGCCCTGGGCTAACATCCGTGCCCATCTTCCTCTACTTTATATGGGATGCTGCCACAGCATGGCTTGACAAGCAGTGTGTTGGTGTGTGCCCGGGATCCGAACCTGGGAACCCTGGGCCACCAAAGCAGAGTGCACGCTTAACCGCTGCACCACTGGGCTGGCTTGCTGTTTATTTCATTTTTTTATTACAGTTTACTACTACAGTGATTTTAATGACTCCATTTAAATTCATATAAAAATAAAATATTTTGTCCTTGTTGAAGAGAGGTATTATTGTTGTGTTTACTGGTATAATTGCATTTAATTATGTTCTTAGAACAAAGAATTAAAAAATCAGAGGTGCTGGACATATTACTCATCAGTCAAAATAGTCCTTTTGAATATTTATTCAACTACTTTTAATTATAGCAAATTTCAGATGGCCCTGGAATGAAAGCAATATGGAAGAGTTAGTGTTTATTTTTCATAGACTCTCTTGTTATTTTCTAAATTTCATTTATTTTCTGATATACATAGGTGTTTTAATCAGGCAGTTAGGAGGAAAACAATCTGATTAGGTAGTGGGAATAATATGGATTACCAGCAACCAAATTTACCTGCTGGGGTTTTCTTTACTCTTGCAAATCCCTGAGGGTGAGACTGTTTAACCCAAAATAAACAAATTGCCACTGGGCTGAATGTCCAAGACCTGAAAAATCAGGCCAGGCCTAAAGTACATCTAATTTGAGAAGTCGAAACATTCAACGAAAAATGAAATGATGACATGTTTCCCCACTTCATTAGTGATATCATTTAGGTTGTTAACACTTGCTTCTGTCATAATTAGTCAGTTAAGTGTGCAAGTCATTGGTCAACGGTTTGGCAGGCTGAGAATGGTTTAAGCGATCATCAGTTTTGGTAATACCTTGTTTCTATGTGAAACGTAATTCATTTACTAGAAGAGATAAATCAGACTTGTCTTCTTTATTTAGGATCCTGAGGGTGTACAGCACACAGAAGAAGCGTGTGGCTTTTAATGTTTCAAAGATGCTGTCTGGAATAAGTGCTGAAGGAGAGGTATGCAATATTTTGACGTGTCATTTTAGCAGTACTTTAGTTGAGACTTAGGAAGTCGTGAGCTCTTCCCTATCTTGCAGCTGAATCACTGGTCTCCAGGACCTGACACCTGAACCACAATAGGACTTCCTCTCGGACAGTCAAGGCTCAGTTAGTGTGGTGGGCTAGTCTGTCTGGAAATGGGGACCTCTGGGGGCCGGGGGAGAGCTGATGATGGAGGATAGTGGTTTCCACCCCTGGCTGCACTGTACAGTCACCTGGGAAGCATTAAGAAATATAGGTGCCTGGGCCTCACCCCCAGAGATGTGATCCCTTGGCTTGAGGTCTGCAGGGCCTCCGGGATTCTGAGGTGCAGCGAGGGTTGCACTGCTGACCTAGGAGGATCCCAGCGCTAGGCACCAGGAAGGCAGGTGGGTCAAGCGTGCGATTGTCCAGCCCCAGGCAGTACATCATCTTGGCGGGTAGATAGACAACTCTGGTCGCAGACAGCAGAGACCCAGACATTGGGCTGGTATTCAGGAATAGGACCGATTTTGATTTTTGAAAGAACTGGCAAATGAAAATAGGACCCTGGTCCTAGAAGGATCCAGACTGCTGAGGCAGGCACTTAGGTGAAAGGAGCAAGTCGGTTACTGGAACAAAAAAGGGACTGGTGGGAATCCAGTCCTGGGGCGGCAAGTTGAGGCAGTGTGGGCTGTGAGCCGGCTGATGCGGAGCTGCCACACACGTCAAGGAGAGTAATGCCTAGTTCCTTGGGCTCTTGAGAATCAAATGCCTAATGCTTATAAAGTGTCAGTGAATGGTTCCACGTAGGTGTTCAAGAAATGTTGTTTGAAAAGAGGATATGATTGCCTGTTTAATAATTGTTTTCTTTTAAGAAGTGTTCATTCAGTTGGAAATTCTAAATGTATACACACAGATAACAAGCAGAGTGTTGCTAGTCGTCTTCCTGCTTTCTCCCAGTCTCATTCTCCAGACAAAACACTGATGACAGCGTGGTGTGTGTTCTTACAGAGGTTGTCTTTTTTTAATTTAATTTAATTTTTTTGGAGGAAGATCAGCCGTGAGCCAACATCCGCGCCAATCCTCCTCTTTTTGCTGAGGAAGACTGGCCCTGAGCTAACATCCGTGCCGATCGTCCTCCACTTTATGTGGGACGCTGCCACAGCATGGCCTCACAAGCGGTGCGTTGGTGCACGCCTGGGATCCGAACCTGGGCTGCCAGCAGCGGAGCGTGCGCACTTAACCGCTGCGCGACGGGGCTGGCCCCAAGGTTGTTTTTTTAAAAAACTAATTGTAGAACAACACATACACACAGACACATACACACGTAGCTTTAACAAAAATGGGTGATCAGTTCATGATTAGTCTTGCAGTCTTTTGTGATTATTTGATTTGTAATATGCTTCAGTTTCATTTACTATGTCAGTAATAAATGACAGTATGTAAAGAAAAAAATATAGGAATTGGCAGTCCTTGACTGTGAATGTAAAGATTTGGAATGATGTTTAAGCGTTGTGTGCCACAGGCGAGAAGTTACCGGATGTTTCATGATGACAGCATGAAGTCGTTCTTTCGTAGACTGAGTTTTACTCCTGATGGATCTTTGCTCCTCACACCAGGTGTGTTTACCAAAGCTTTTGATTTAAGGGCATGATGGAGCAGTGGTGATGTCTCTGCTCCCCATCTTGTGATGCTTGGTTTCAGTGCAGTGAATTCTGATTAGAGCAGTGGTCCCCAACTTGTGCACGCATTGAAACCTCCGGGGGAGCTTCAAATAAATACTGGCTTGTGTCCCACCCCCAGAGGTTGTGGTTTGATTGGTTTGGGGTGTGTGGCCTGAGTTTTGGAAAAGATTTCCATGTGATTCTAATGTGCAGACAAGTTTGGGAGCCACTGGACTGGTGAGACATTTCCTCTTAGATAAACTTAACTTTTAAAAAAGTTTAATGGGGGCTGGCCCCGTGGCGTAGCGGTTAAGTGCGTGAGCTCTGCTGCTGGCGGCCCGGGTTCGGATCCCGGACGTGCACCGATGCACCCCTTGTCAGGCCATGCTGTGGCGGCGTCCCATGTAATGTGGAGGAAGATGGGCAGGGATGTTAGCCCAGGGCCAGTCAACCTCAGCAAAAAGAGGAGGATTGGCATGGATGTTAGCTCAGAGCTGATCTTCCTCACACACACAAAAAAAGTTTAATGAATGCTTTTTCACTAGACATGTATATGGAGGTCATAGTTCTAAAGCTAAAGTGCCTTTGTCGTTTTTATTCTCCTCAATAATGAAGCAGCTTGTTGTGACATGATCTAGACACGGGGACAAGTTTGGTTGGAATAGCTTGTGGGAGTGGCAGTGGTCAAATCTGAGAGGTCAGCAGAATCAGCAAGGACAAGACAGGTTCATTGTCTACAGGGAGGCAGGATCAGCCAGGGCAGTGCTATTGCCAGGGTGTTCTCAGAGGAGAGTGTCCACTGCTCTCCATGGCTTGGGTGCCATCCTGTGTATGAAGACGATGACACAGCCCAGGGCTGGGCCATACAGGAGAGCACAGGCCAGGTTTGCCACTAAGTGTTCCAGCCAGGCTGGGGGTGGGGGCCCAAGAGGGTGGGAGTCACATGTGCTTGTGTGGGTTAGGCTTGAAAGGACATGTGGGAATGACAGTGGCTTACGGGGGGTCTCAGGACCACAAAGAAGTAGTTGCATAAGTATATTATTTACTAAACTCTGTAACTAATCCTTTACTAAATTTCAAATCTAAAAATATTTTCAGTTAAAATCAGGTACCAGATGGGTGTCTGCTATCACCATTGTTATTCTTTGTGGTATTAAATGCAGGAAAATGAGAAAATGAAATTACAAAGATTGGAAAAGAAGAGATAAAACTTTGTGATAGGATTGTGTTTCTAGAAAATCCAAGAGATTTAACAAATACTGTCAGAATAAAAAAAATTTGGTAAGGTAGTTTGATGTTGTGAAATACGTAAAAATCTTTATCTTCTACACTAGAATAAGTACTTAAAATGTAAAAAGGAAAATTATTCCGTTCATATAACAGTGCATAACCCATGAAACATGGGAATACATGAGAAAAAATTAAATAAGAAAGGCACAAAGCGTTTATGAACAAGACTAGAAGGTCTTATTGAAGGTTATAAAACAAGTTCTGAAAAAATGGAAGGATATTTCATGTTCTAAAAATTAACATACTAATTGATTTCCAATTAGGATCTCGTTAGAGGTTTTTTTGTTTTAATTGGATGACATCTCAGCTTTGTTTGGGAGAATAGTCAAAAAATATGAAAAATAATAATATTTGAGCAGGCGTTTGCCTGACTAGATGTCAGAAGATACTGTAGTGCTACTGTTATCAAATTAATATGGTGTTGGTGTAGGAATAAACATAGATTAGTGGACCAGAGCAGAAAATCCAGGAATAGATCCTGGGATAGAAGGGAACTGAGTATATGACCTGGGTGGTATTTCAATGGGAAGAATGGATTATTGAGTGAATGGTGCTGAAATGTCCAGCTGTCTGGAAGAAAATTAAATTAGACCTCTAGCTTATATATAAAAAGAAATTCCGGGTGAATTCAATACTTAAATATGAAAGGTAAAAATATAAAAGTCTTGCAAGAAAATCTAGGAGGACATTCTAGGAATGGGGAAAGCCAGAAGCTCTTAAATGATAGTCCTATCTGAGTGTATTTGAATGTAGAACTTAGGTATGGCAAAAAATACAAGTAAAATCAGTAGACAAATGATGGATCTGTAAAATAATATTTATGGTACAGGAAAGAGAGAGCTAATACATGTCATATACAATGGCTCTTCCAAATTAACAAGAAGAGCAAAAAAACAAAATGAGAAAAGAAAAATCCAGAAGAAAAAAATGAGTGAAAGGTACAAAAAGGCAGTTCATAGATGAGCAAATCTACGTGTTCAGCACACATGGGAGAAGGTTCAGAAACTCAATAATAGTCAGGGAAATACAAATTAAAGTGGCCTACAATAGGTATCTCTTTATTCTTTTCAGACTGGAAAAAAGTGAAAGTATCTATTGCTGATGGGCATGCGGAATGTGGGTATTGCTGGTGGGAATGTGAATTTGTACAGCCTTTTTGGAAAGCAGTCTGGTACCCATTAAATGCATGTACCCTTCAGCCAATCTGTTCCTCATTGGAGACTCAATTCCTTAAGAAATGAAAACATAGTATGTAAGAGTATATGTTCAAGGATGTTTATTGCAAGCATTGCTTATAGTTGTAAAAAAACAAAAACAACAATACTTATTAACAGAGAATGGATGAATGAAATGGTATTTTCATACCAGTGAATATTAGGCAGCTACTAAGAAAAGAATGTGTTAGTGCTATGCAAGTTAACTTTCATGAGTAGTTGACTGAGAAAAGCAAAATAAGGAAAAATATAAATAATACCCCATTTTGTAAAACAGACTGGAAAAACCCCCACCATATGAGTATGTATGCGATTGAGTTATAATTGGTTGTAATGATTATGTGAGCATGGAGGAAATAGAGAAATGACATCATGGTTTGTTCAAATGGATTACTTGGGGATGGAAGGATGGAGTGAGATGGGAAGAGGGTAGAAAGACTATTGACACTGTCTACTGCCCTCCCCAGTAGACATGAAATGGTCACATGGAAGATTATATATGTGTGTATATGTATCAAGAAATATTAACATAAAACAGGGAGATGTTTCCAAGAGCAACTGTGTTTGATGGTCGTTCTCTGACAAGGTCTGACCTGGTTTAAGTGCATCCTGGGGTGAGTGTAGAATAGCTCTCAAATGTGGGCTGCTCCCCAGAGCAAAGTCAGCTTCTGCAGGGCTGGAGATTTCAGCAGAGGGCTAGGTCTCCTGGCAGCCTCCTGGCTCCATCAGGCAGATGGGAGAAGACCCGAGTCTCAGCCTTTGAATGCCAACTGAGGTCGGAATCCAGGGACAGAGAGCAGGGGCATCTCGTCACAGTGCTTCCACCAGCAGGAATTGGCTGGATTCCCAAAGGTCTTCTGTAGCAAGGGCTCTCCACTTTATGTTCTTGCTGCCCAGGCCTGGAAGAGGCTCTGGGGTGACTGAGCCTCTCAGGTGAGGTGACACTCAGGTGAGACGATAGGCAGGTACAGTTGGTGTAAGGGCTGAGCCCAGACTGTGATGAGATGTTTGTATTTGTCCTTAGTCACAAAAACATTGTCCAGGGAATACATCTATTGGGAAAAATATTTTCCAAACGAGAATTGGATGCTTTTGGGTCTTTGCTGGTGAACCGTTTAATAAAACACTGCCTTTCCTTCCTCTCCCTCCTTTCCCTGCTTCCCCAGCTGGGTGTGTGGAATCTGGTGAAAATGTAACGAATACCACTTATGTTTTCTCCAGGAAAAATCTTAAAAGGTATGCAATTGAAGACACATTTGAAATGTTCATCCTTTCTTTTTGGTTTTGTTGAGTAAAGGTGCCTTTTCCTAAAACCATGATTCATCTTTCAGGCCTCTTGCTCATCTTCCGTGTCCTGGAAAAGCCACGCTTGCTGTTCGCTGCTGTCCGGTCTACTTTGAGTTGAGGCCGGGGCTGGAAGCAGGTATACTGGAAGCACAGTGGTTGTGTTATGTTTTCCCTCTGGGGCAGGTCACCAGGTGGGGGTGGTGATTTGGATTTTATCTTATTTGTGGGGAAGGTGAGTATGTGCATTTGGTTCAGTTTAGTTATTACTCTTAAGAGCTGGAGCAAAGACTGATGTTACCAAAATATGTGTTCTTTTTTTTTTTTGGCTTGAGGAAGATTCGCCCTGAGCTAACATCTGTGCAAGTCTTCTTCTATTTTGTATGTGGGTCACTGCCACAGCATGGCCACTGGCGAGTGGTGTAGGTCTGCGCCCGGGAGCCGAACCAGGGCTGCCAAAGCAGGGCACAACGAACTTAACCACTAGGCCATGGGGCTGGCCCCTGTGTCATTTTTTTTTTTTTGCATTTGTCTAGAATACACTTTCTTTGCTTAAAGCCACTTTAAAGGAATAAAAGTACTAGTTTTGTTTTTCTACCAAAGCAGGTTGAATGTCATTCATTATCGATTTCCTTTGCAGTAAAATTATGTATGAATTGGATTTTTGTTTGTTTTTTAACTTTTTTTTTCTCCACTGGCTGCTTTTAAGATTTTTCTCTTTATCAATGGCTTGAAGCAATCTGATTATGATGTGCCTTGGTGTAGTTTTCTTCATGTTTCTTGTGCTTGGGGTTCATTGAGATTCTTAGGTCTATGAGCTTATAGTTTTCATCAAATTTGGGGGATTTTGGCCATTATTTCTTCAAATATTTTTTCTGTCATCCCCACTCTCTCCTCTTCGGGGGCTCCAACTACATGTGTGTGAGGCCATTTGAAGTTATCCCACTGCTTACTGATGCTGTTTACTTGTGTTTTTTCTTCTCAGTGTTTTATTTTGGATAGCTTCTACAGCTATATTTTGAGTTCACTAATCTCTTCTGCTGTGTAATCTGCCCTTGGTGCCATCAGTGTATTTTCCATGTGACATTATAGTTTTCATCTCTAGAAGTTCGATTTGGGTCCTTCTTAGATATTCTGTGTCTCTACTTAACATGCTCTGTCTTTGCTCTTGCTTCTGGAACACGTGGAATAGTTTTTATAACAACTCTTTTAATGTCTTTGTTTACAAAGGGTTGACTTTGATTGATTTTTTTTTTCTCCTCATTGTGGGTCATATTTTCCTGCTTCTTTACATGCCTGGTAATTTTTTATTAGATGCCAGACATTGTGAATTTTACCTTAGTGGATGCTGGATATATTTTTATTCTTGTAAGTATTCTTGAGCTTTATTCTGGGATGCAGTGAGGTTACTGGGACACGTTTGCTTCTGGTGGGTCTTGCTGTTACGCTTTGTTAGGTGGGATCATAGCAGCATTTAGTCCAGGGCTAATTTCCCCACAACTGAGGCAGTGCCCTCCGAGTATCCTAATCGATGCCCCATGAAACAGGAGGGTTTCCACTCTGGCTGGTGAGAACACACACCGTTTCTGGCCGTGTGAGCTTCAGGGACTGCTCTTTTTTTCCTGTAGTCCTTGTTCCAGGCTTGGGTCATTTCCTCAGCTGAGGACTCAGAGGGCCCTGCAGGGCTCTGTAGCTCTCCCGTCCCCGCGCCTCCACCCCGTGAGCCCCAGCTGCCCTGGCCTGTGTGGACTCCCAGCTCCGTCTCCTCAGCTCAGGGCGGCTGCTGGACACTGCCTGGGTCCACCTTTGCTGGGCCTGGAAACTCCAGGCAGTGAGCAGAGGCAACTGTAGGAGTTGCCTCATTTGCTTCCCATCTCTCAGGGATCACTGTCCTTCATTGCCTAATGGTCAGGCCCTGTTACTCCATGGCTGGAAGCAGAAGCTGTTTTAAGGTTTTAATCCTTTATGTGAATGAATATAGTTAACTTGAAAGAACATTAAAACATCTCTTGATAAGACATTTCCACGTGACCTTTATTTTTCCTTATCAGAAAGCAACCCCTCAGGTTGACTTGCCTCATTCGCACATCTTTTCTTTTCTCTTCTCTTCTTTTGGGACCTCGGGTGCCTGTGATTCTTGGATTATCACATGGTGTCTTCATTGGCTCATGCATGGTTCTCCTTTATTCATAAATAAAATAACAGAACTGAATTCTTTTTTTTCTTTTTTTGTGAGGAAGATCAGCCCTGAGCTAACATCCGATGCCAATCCTCCTCTTTTTGCTGAGGAAGACTGGCCCTGGGCTAACATCTGTGCCCATCTTCCTCTGCTTTATATGGGGTGCTGCCACAGCATGGCTTGACAAGCAGTGCATCGGTCCATGCCCGGGATCCAAACTTGAGAACCTCGGGCCGCCAAAGCAGAGCACATGCACTTAACTGCTATGCCACCAGGCCGTCCCCGAACTGAATTCTTTCGTAAAGCATATAGCAAACTAGTCTTGAGTAAAATTATGTCATTTATGTCTCCTAGGAGAGGGCTTTTGGGGGGAATTTGTTATTTGTTTCCTTCAGGAACTCTGTTTTCACTTGTTTTACTTTCCTTTCTTTGTCCCTACTCCTCCCATGCAGACAGACCCTCACAGGAGCCAGGGATGGAGCTGGTGAGCCTGCCCTACCGCTTGGTGTTTGCTGTGGCTTCCGAAGACTCTGTGCTCTTGTACGACACCCAGCAGCTGTTCCCTTTTGGTTACGTGTCTAATATACATTACCACACCCTGAGTGACGTCTCCTGGTGAGTGGCCAGTGGCGATGGAAGGGGGATGGAGGAGGTACAGTGCACGTTCTCCTGGAGGAGATCCTTGGGTCAGGGGGCCTTTCATCACCACTGGTGGCTTTTTTGGCCCTTATTTACCAATTTTTTAAAGGAATCAACATGAAGAGGAAAGCCATTTCTAATTTGCCACAATACTGCTTCCTGTTGTGATGGCAGTGGGTGCTAATGCCCTTCAGAGTGCCCTGTGGGGTTCATCTAATTCTCATACACTGAGGGCAGCCCCGTGGGCTCCCCGGTCATTTGGGGACTCGCCAGGCCCTCTGAGAGGAAGCCCACACCTGCTGCCCAGAAAAGGAGTGGCCCCAGAACCGTGCCTGTCCTGAGGTGTCACCTTGCACTCGCCTTTCTGCTTGAGGTCCTCAGCACCCTGGGTCCCCATTCAGCTTCCACTGCCTGCTGGGCCCAGCCGAGCTCCAGCCAAGGCCGGCCCACCCCTCATCCAGATCTTGCTCTTTTTCTCTTCTTTTAATTTTCTTTTTATCTTGGAAGAACAGGTCATCTCACCTTTATTCGGGTGACTTTGACGACAGTGCAGAGATGTTGTGGTGCCTTAGAAGATCGAGGGGGTGCTGGGGAAGGAAAGGGTGCGAGTGAGGAGCTCACATAAACCTTCCTTAGTCATATTTTTTCCCGACTTTTGCCTTCAAACAAAGCTTGTGATTTTGCTTGAACTTCCATTTTCTAACTAGTAATGAGAGCGTTAGGAGTGGCCTGTAGATTTTGGTAAAGTTTCTAACTTTTTCTCCTGTTTTGGGAACTAAGGTCCAGCGACGGGGCCTTCCTGGCCATTTCTTCCACGGATGGTTATTGTTCGTTTGTGACGTTTGAGAAGGATGAACTTGGAGTACCTTTGAAAGAGAAGCCAGTTTTGAGCATGAGAACTCCTGATACAGCAAAGAAAACTAAGAGTCAGACACCCCAGGGGTCTTCGCCGGGACCCAGACTGGTAGAGGGAACGCCCACCAGCAGAACCCAAGACCCCAGCAGTCCCAGTACACCACCCCCTCAGGTGAAACAGTCTCCAGCCCCCACAGCAGCCAAGGACACCCCCGCGACGGCTCCTGGTGCCAGAAGCTCCTTGTCGGGATCTTCAGAGGAGAAGACCTTGCAGCCTAGCAGTCAAAACATGAAGGCCCACCCATCCCGGAGGGTCACTCTGAACACATTGCAGGCCTGGAGCAAGACAACACCCCGGTAAGAACCTCTGATGGAAGAGGAAATTGTTATTGCGGTTGACAAACAAAATACAGACTGAGAGCCCCCAACCTTTAACAGCTGAAATTCCACATAGCAAGTACTCATACTGCTGCCAGAGAGAGTTCTTAATGTCACATCTGAGAGAGCCACTTCCCTGCTTGGAGACCTCTGTGGGTCCCCATCTCCTACCTGTTGGATAAGGTCCAGATGCGTGTGCACGGCACGTGGATGGATTGGTGGCAGCCCGCCATCCAGGACTGTGGCTGCTCACTCTCCTTTGCCTTTTGTGCCTTAATCTCTAGCCTGACCCTAAAGTCGGGTTCCCAGAGCACAGTCCGCCCTGGAGCCTCTGTGCCTTTCCTTTCCTCCGGGAAGCCCTGGACCTCTGCTCCCCTTGGTGACACTACAGTCCTCCTGGAAGACCCCTTTGGATGTCCCTTCAGCCCTTTTCTCTGTCACAACATATCACATCACATTCCCCTGTTAGATTATAAGCCCCTTTAAGGCAGGAAGCGTGTTCCCATTCTTTACCTATGTTCTCTTGCCTGGAACAGTAACGGGTACTTCACAGGAGGTAGGAATACAAGGAGCATCTTGAGGCAGGTTGTGCCACATCCAGCAGACTGGCTCGTGGTAGCTATGTCTGGTCTTATAATAACCCTTCCAGGTGATGCCACGGTTGTTTTCTTCCTGCTCACGTCAGTCTGGTTTGTAAACCTGCCTGAGTTCCCTGCTGGTGCTGCTCAACACAGTCCTCTGTCACCCAGCAGCCGTTACCGCCAGGTTTCGTTCCCACGGAACTGAGAGGGAAGTTATCCCCTCTGACTCTATGCACTGCCTTCTCCACCAGTCCCTCCACCTCCTAACCTTCCAGATAATTACACTGGGGAGGGAGGTGGTCTGGGGAGGGGATGCAGCAGGAAAGGGTGGTGGTGACGGAAGACAATGGAGGCACTGTTGCCTCTCACATTCTCCGCTGTGTCCACATGAGTTCATTGGCAGATCCATAATAAAGGTTCGGTGTAGTATTCGCCTCTTTTTGAATCTCTGATTTCTTTCTGCAGACTAGCAATGTTATGGTTTCTTTTTTTTTTTTTTCCTATTTGTTTTTAGGTGAGGGAAGTGTTCTTTGAAATATTTTTGGTATTAGAGTTTTCCCCCCTGTTAATTTCTTGCAAGCTTCTTGCAGTTGTAATTTTTTTTTTTAAATAATAGTTGTTGAAAATTAAGACTGATTTTAAAAAAGAATTATCTATGTTTTGGAGCTTTTCATAGTAGAAACCATGTCTGACAGCCTTATATATGCAGCATCCAGCCAGGTGTTCAGCATACCATTGGTAGTTAGCAAAACACAGGTTTTGAAACTTGTGGATAGGTTAGGGTCTAAGTTGACTATTATAAATGTGATAGTTTAACTATTACGTGAACGTAATCCTTAGTTACTAAATAAGTGGGAACATTAACATTAGATTTATTGCCTTGTATGATATGATCAGCTGAAAATTTTAAATGTTTCCTTTGGGCAGTTTTGAAATTTGGTATCATACATAAACAATTCCTGTGACACTAATGAGCCGTGTACCCATTTACTTCTTTTTTTTTTAATCAAGGAGAATAAACTTAATACCCTTAAAGACAGATACTCCACCGAATTCTGTACCAACCAGTGTAATTTCCACCCCTTCCACAGAAGAAATTCAATCAGGTAAGTGATACTGTTACTGGTTAAATATAATTAAAAGATAGGATATCTTCTCTTTGTTCTTTTGGAAATTAGCACCACCTAATTTTAAGTCAGTTCTGAGGAAGCAAGGATGCATCTTACTAGACCCATCATTGAAACTCATTGGCTGCCTGTTATTCTCAGCAGGGAGACCACCTTCCCGTGAAAGCCCTCACTGTGAGGTAGATGGTGGGTCCAGGAGATGGTACAGATCAGGGTTCTCAGCTCGGCACTGTTGACATTCTGAGCTGGATAATTCTTTGTTGTGGGGGCTGTCCTGTGATTGTATGATGTTTCTCAGCATCCCTGGACGCCGGTACCCACCCCCCCAACTCTTGACACTCTAAAATGTCACCAGACATTGCTCACTATCCCTTGGGAAGCAAAATGACCACTGATTGAGAACCACTGGTATAGATCCTTCCCCTTATATCCACATAGGACCTCACCAGCCAGTTCAGTTCCTTGTCTGGGCACAAAATTTGTTTTGTTAGCATCTGCTCTTAAAGAAGTCTTCTCTTACGTGCCAACCTTGTGTGTGTTGCTGTTTCAGAGATGCCTGGAGACCCTCAGGGCAGTCCTCCGGAGGTAAAGCGGCCCAGACTCCGTGAACACAAAGACAGTACCCAGGGTCTGGACCCTTGAGGAGACCCGTCTTGTGCTTGAAGGCTGCCAGGTCTGGGGACCCCCCTGCGCACAGGGAAGGGGGTTAGGCTGAAGACACCTGAGACCATCAGACAGAGCCTGGCGGACACTCGTAAATTGATCTCTGTAACAGGCGATATACATGACCAGTTTTTCTCCAGAAATATCTGGTATTCAGTATACATTTTTACCTCAGAGATGAGAACATTTAATAGACTAAATCCTCTTTTTGATGAGTTTCTGAAACTGGAGCAGTTCCACGTTATCTGGTGTGAAAATCAGTAAATCTTCCCTTGAAATATTTACATGAAAGTACAGACACTTTATGGGTGAACTTCTAACGCTGGAATTAGAAAATAATTTGAGAAGGTTTATTCTGTTGAATTTTAGAGTGTTCGAATGATTACTAGGTTTAGCTTCTAAATAGTTGATTAATTTTTGGAAGTTTGTTATGTTTGCTTTCTGATTTTAAAGGAAATAATGCTCATTCTAGAAAGTTAGTAGAGTGAGGTAGAAAAAAACAGCTTGGACATGGGACTCACCTATCATCTCACCACCAGAAGGAACCCTTGTTGCTGTTTTGGTATATTTCCTTCTTCACAATTTTTTTTTGTTTTTTTAAATGGAGAGAGTTGAGATTTTACTTTAGATACAGTTTGGTATCCAAATAGGTTAACTTTTTAGATGGATTTTTCAGAGCAAAAATAGTAACTTGACTTAGCAGTTTATGCCTCTGCCTTTGCTTTCTCCGGTCGCTGGGGTGAGGACACATTCTCTTTCTCTACTGGGAGTAAATGTGAGACGTATGAAGTGCAGTTGTTGGCCCCTGAGGAGGCAGTCATACGTGGAGTCTGCTCTTGGCTCAGGAGACACTGGGCAGTATGATGGAGAGGGGCTAGTGGGCCTGTGGCAACTGGGTGGAACCCCAGTTGAGACACTGCGCTGCTGCATCTCATTGAAAAGGGGGATTAGAGTTGAATCTCATGATGCTCGATGCCTGTCACTTGGGCACAATGAACATGATGAGTCATGAAGGTTCTCCACCCAGGGCTTTCTTCCCAATCTGAAAGAGATCAAAGAGAGTTCAGGACCCACCAGTCAAGTCTCTGATAAGAAGGGCTGAGGAGTGGAAGAAGGTGCTCTTTTGAACTCAAGTCAGCAGCAGCAAAGAAAAGAATTTGATACTTCTTTCCGTTTCTTGCTTAATCCAGAACCAAGTTAACCAGAAAAAGAGTTTGCCTCCTTTTTAGATGGGAAAGTGGCAAACTAGGGATAATTTACAGTGTAGAGAATTGGAAGGTGAATACGTGCATGGTTGTAATAATGCAGGTGTGGTCACATTCACTATGAAGATATTTTAAAATGTCAAATAGTGTCTGTTTGACCAGTGGATTGAAATCACCCAAAGAGCTGACAAAAATACTGATGCCTTGTCCGCCCTCCAGAGGTCTGGCCTGGACTGGTCCTGGGGCAGGGTCTGAACATCAGGATTCTTTAAAGCTCCTTGAGTAATTCTGATGCTCAGCCAAGACTGGGAAATCATAAGAGAAAAGGCTTTCCCTGGATGTGGTCTCTTCTGGTTAAATGCTTTTCCACCAAAAGCTTTTTCTGGCTTCTCTCTTGTTCATCGCAGAAAACCATCTCCTTTACCAGGGCCACAAACTGAAAGGATGATGTATAGGCGATGCCATCAGCTTTTCAGAGAAAAAAGATCACTTTAAACTTCCTGCGGCTGGAGTGAGGTGTATTTTCTGGTCATTGACCCCTGTGCAAACCAGAGTGACCAGGCGTCCCGTGTTCTCAGTGAGTGGGCCTGCTTCGCTGGCCACACCTGGTGGAGGAAGGAATGCTCGGTTCTACACACCTGTCTCTTGTGCAACAATAACAAAAGGGGGAATGCGGGGTGCACCTTCAGCCAGAAGTGTGTATTTATGGACCTGACTGCCTGTTCATCAGCTGTTACCTCAAATGTAAATGACAGAAGTGGCAGTAGAAGCCCAGGTGATGGTACCTCAGAGTCCTGATCTGAAACCGCCTGCTGCCCTCTGGGTAGTTTATTGGGAAGCCCTCTGCAGAGGGATCCTGACCTGAAGGTTGGGCAGTATCCCCTCTACAAATGGTTGCTGTTTGTGGGCACTGTCTCACCATTCTGGATTCATCGTTGGATGGGGTATGTGTTTGTTTTGCACAGTGTGACCAGGTATCTCGGGCACTCTACTATCAGATCTGGATCCCTGCCGTGAGGTGGCTAGAAGCAGGTGAGTCTTGGGGAGACTGCTCGGGGGATCTTGACATGCATTCCCTGGATTCTGGGAGTGTGATGGTGGGGACCTCCACCTGTGTGTCTGAAGGAGGAAAGCTGGTGGGGTTGCCCGGGCAGCAGTGAGGAGAGGGGGCAGCAGAGGATGAAGTCCCCATTACACACCAGGCACACAGTGGGTAGGGATGTGTGGGGCCTCCTCGGGGCCCACAGTGGGTGACCAGGCCCAAGCCATTGTGAAAGGAGCCTCCCCAAGCAGGGTGTCCCCCAGGACAAGGGCACTCAAGCGGACAGTCAGAAAGGGTGTGCCGCAGGGGCGTGAGTCACTCCCAGTCCTCTGACTCATGTTTGCCCCCTGCAGCCACTGCCGTTGTCCTCGCTGAGAGCACCCACATCTGCATTTAATGGTGCCATTGACCCTTCTTACCAAAATAGTTGTAGTGCCCATTTAAACAACATAGGTCCCGAGTCCTTAGCTCTGGAAACTTCCAGTGGGGGGTGAGGGTGACGGGCTCACCCCCCTTTCCCACCTAGAGTCTCCCAGTACCCGTGCGTCTTCCCTTTTGTGTCATTTTGCTGTATTCCAGTCTCTGCTCCCTCTCACCTGGCGGGGGTGTGTGTCTCTGAGAGAGAGACAGACCTTGGACAAATGACTTCGTCTGAAGAAGTTGTTTTACAGCTCTGAAAGCTTCAGCTTTGCCTCTGGCAGGAGAGAGGGCTAAGACAAAAGGTAGGAGGACAGAAACGAGAAATGGAATTAAAGGGCTGCAGGGTAAACCAGGTCACACCTCCCTTCTGCAGTCACCTGTCGCTTAACGACGGGGACACGTTCTGAGAGACGCATCGTTAGCGATTTTGTTGTGCGAACATGGTAGAGTGTGCTTACACAAACCTAGATGGTTGAGCCTACTACACACCTAGGCTCCTATACACAGTCTGTTGTTGACCGAAACGTCATTATGCGGCACATGACTGTGTAGAGGTGACAGTCACCCGTGTTCACACACGAGCTCTCATGGCCACTGGAGGTCACTGTCCCCACTGGACCCACCTCAGCTTGAAGGCTCTGCTGGCCACTCAGTCCCACCTCCAAGTGGTACAAGTTCCTGTCCAAGTCCAAGTATGGGGAGCAGGCTTGGCCAGAGTGGCCTTGGACGCTGCTTCAGCCCCTGGTGGCCAGGCCCAGAGGCGAGCGTCATTCAACAAATTGCAGTGGGAGAGGATTATGACAGTAATACATGAATGCTCATCTCTTTGATCATTCGATCATTCATTCAAGAAACGCTTACCAGACACCTTCTAGGTACAGAAGGATAACTCAGGGAGCAAAACAGAGAGAACTCTGCCCTCCTGGAGCTTGCCTTCCGGTTGGGGGAGACCAACAATAAACTAAATGGTAAATATATATTAAAAGATGACTATGGAAAAAAATAGAAGTGAGGGGCCGTAGGAGAGCTGGCTGGAGGGTGGGCTGCAACTTAAAATAGGGAAAGTCTCTGAGAAGGTTGAAACAAGGCAGGAGAGGGCGAAGAAGAAAGTAATCACATCAGGTCTTCTAGGTTTTTCCAGGAGCAAGATATCCTTCTCAACTCAGGTATCTGACGCATTCTGTGTGCAGGTTGGGTGTTGTGGGGTCCCCTGGACTCAGGATACCCCTGAGTGATGGGGCTGAGAGGACAGCCTGCAGCCCCCCTTGGCGTGGTGCCCCATCGAGGCTGGAGTGGCCTCCGTCAGCCACTCGGCCTCCCTTGTCCCCTCATGCCCACCTCTGGGGGTCGGCCTGACACCTGCCTGTGTACATCCTCTGGGGATGTGGTTCAGGAGGTTGAACATTGCAGGAATTATCAGCAGGGTGGGGAAGGTGCCCTGTCATTGCAATGGGAGTGAAATCTTTCTAAATCATAGATCTCTGGTCCAACTTTTATCCCAGATGGAAGGCAGAGCCAGACAATCACCCAGCTGTTTTATCTTCCACTTCCTGCTTTGAAGCAAAGTCTGTGGCAGTTTCAACAGCTAAATTGTCAGAGGTGGGTGTTGTAGAAGGCGTTGTCTTCAGTTTGGCCTCTGCACCTGAAACCCTGCCTTCATCAGCACTGAGAGAAAAATATTTTCGCTAACCTGGATCCCCTACAGAAGTCCTACTTTTAACTCAAGTTTTGGCTCTGAGAGTCGCTGTGAAGCAACAAGCATCGCCCCTTGTAAAGCCGCGGTGACAAAAGTTTAGTAATGACTACGTGGGGTCGGTACACTGGCCCTCTTTTCTTAACACCCAAAACAATTTGATGTCTCTCTCTGTCATAGAACGTGACCTGGGAAAGGCATTTCAAGTGTAATAACAAGTCTTTGAAATAACTCCAGGTCTCTTGCCCTCCGTCAGCGCCCTGGGCAGGTCTGAGGAGAAATGTCTGCATGGGAGAAGTCAGAGCTGGGTGTCCACCCTCCAGGCCTCTTCCCCCACGGCTCCCTCCTCTCTCCCTGTCTCCTCCCGCGTACCAGCTACCTGGAGCTGCAGCACCAGTGCTTCCCAGCCCAGCCGTGCCCCAGAGCACCTGTGTGTGGGGCTTTACAAACAAAACAAAATAAACCAACTCAAGCCTGGGCTTTGTCCAGACCCGGGAATCAGCCGCTATAGGTGAGGGGGACGCCCCGCCAGGCACATGCATTTAAAAATACTCTGAGATTCAGTGGGCACTCAGCTTTGGAACTACTGGCTGGAGAACTGCGAAGTCTGGAAGATAAACCAGTGATGGGCAGTTAAAATACTTCGAGCTTATTGATTTCATGAAGAACATCCATATTCAACTACCCAAGAGGAGGCTGAATCTTGAAGAAAACTTTGCCACTCAGCTCTGACATCACTCTGCTTCTATCCAAAAGTTAGAGGAATGAGTAGATGCTGTGTTATTGAAGCCATCCCCAAAGCTAGCTCCACACAGTGGGGTCCTGCCTCATGAACAGAGGTTAGGGAAGCGATGCATTTCGGTTCCTAATGGGACGAGTACTCGAATAAGCCACTGGGGGGTGATATTGCTAGTCCTTAGCTCCACTGTCAAATTTATTAACTGATCTAATGTATTTTTAATGAAAGGATTTTTTTATCCTGTTGTTACGGAAGTAGTATATTATCTACTGCAATACATTTTTCATGTTTATTACTTTCTATATAATTAAATGCTATTTTGAGTTCCAAATCCATGTTGTATACCAAGTCAGAGCACCCCACGAGAACCTCACATACATACAGCTAGATTTAAAAGGCATTTGTGTTAAATGTAGC